CCTCCTCTCAGCTTCCCGCCCACTGGCAGGCCGCCTCTAGRGCTGGTGCGGGTCCTTCTGACTTTAGCGCATAAGCCATCCCCAACTCTTGGGTGTATGCTTCTGGAAAAGTGAACGCCTGTGTGTGTGCAGGTGCCTGCGGTTTCCGTGTGCAGAGAGGATGGCGTTGACCTTTTGATCTGCAAACAAGGAGGGGGTGGTAGTGGAAGAGGGGAAAGATCTGTGAAAATAACTGTGCTGAGTATACTTTGGAGCACTGGCTGGTACCTCCGACAGGGATCCTAGGTTAAGATTGGGGATGCACTTTTCCCCCAGCTTGTTTCTCCTGCGGAAGTACTTTTAATGGGGGGATAAGGTGGGCAGCAGGGTTTGAGGCGGCAAAAAACCTTAATTCTCAGTGGAACTAACACACACCCCCTCCCTCCGCATCCCCCTCCCTGCTTGGAAATCCTCCCATACACTTCCAACTCCCAGACTCCACAGTGTATCTTAAGGGCGTCTGGGCATTTTCAGAGACCCCGGCAAGGGATAGCTGGAAGCCGCAGCCTCCCTCCTTGGAGAGTTTCGGGGAGGTGCATACTGGTAGTACTCGCCCAGATCCTTTCCTTGGCTGCGGCTTCAGGCTGCTCCAGGAGTTGCCTCTCGAGGGGGAAATTGTCCAAAAAGATCCCTTCCGGTTGGGATGAATGGAGAGGAAAAGGAGATGGGGGAGAGGAAAAGGAGATGGGGGAGAGGTGTAGAGCGAGAGCGAAGGAGAGAGTGAAGGAGAGAGCTGTGTTGCGCCCATCACCCAGGCAGGAGCCGCGAGGTGGAGTCACCTGGTGTGTCTCACCCCAGCGATAATGTCTTAAAGAAATATTAAGAATCTCCATCTCTGGTGAGCTCCTATGCTGCCCTCGCCCCCCTTGGTGATGGAGTACACGCATCAGATTTTCATCAAAGTTCTATTAAGTGAAACATAGGTTGCAGGGCACCCTTTGATTGAAACAGTTTAAATTTTAATTGTGTTTTTAATTTGACATATAGTTGCAGAAAGGAATGACACTGCGTCGCCAAGGGGCGGTCGATTTTCTTAATTTCTCCCAGAGGAATTGATGAGTCTATCAGGCCACTAGATTGGAAACCCATTAAAGCTCTCTGGTTAGGCTGTTAATTGGAACTTGATGGATGTGGGAGGGGGGGTGTCAAGACTCGGCTATGCTGATCCAATCTTCATGACTTTCTGTTTTCCAATAAATTACACGATTCATTTTCCAGCCGCAGATTACATAAATTGTACACCTCTGGGGCTCTCTTTTTCAAATAGGGAGCCCTTTTCCCCAAAAGCCTATTGCGAGATGTCATTTGCACCAAAGAACGAACAGCAGAGGCCCTTGAATGAAAATCGAAACATAATCAACGTTTATACTTAGAAAATTTATTGAGATCATTTTCTCTGGTATTTCCTTATTTTAAAGTTTGGACGCGCCATATATCATAATCCACTCGCGTAAAGGCGGGGGGGGGGAGGCTGTGTTTAATATTTATCGAAGCTTGATTCCAAGATCAAACTTGTTTATGACTTCATCTGTCATTTCAGAGGGAGCCTTCTTCCACTATTACCCGGCTCAGCCAGCCTATTTCCCGACCGCCGCAGAGCAGAGAGGATCAATTTTTATTAGGCTCCTCGGCAAGTTTGCTCTGGGCCGCTTTAATATTGAGCAGTGGCATAATCTCGGGACCTAAACTTTAAGCGTTCTTTCAGTCTTGGAAAGTTTATCATTCCTTGGAACCCAGTTATTCCTTATTCCTAGGAGGGTGTGTGTGTGGGGGCGATCCCAGAGACGCGGAAGGCAATCCTCCAGGGGGTCGGCTCCTAAACCGTGCAGTAGGAAGGGGCGGAGCTACCCCGAGACGAGGAGGGTGGGGCAGGGTGTGGGAGTGGTACTGAGCTGAAGGATTGCAATACTTGGGGATGGAGAGACCCGGTGTCCATGGGTGGTGGTTGGTACATCTGAGTTCCTGGGAGTGGGTTTTGCAGCTACGCTGGGCCCAGGAGAGGGCGTCTACGGGCCTCTGCGCTCTCGGTGATGAGATCTCCGAAACAGGTGGCTACGAAAATAGTGTCTTCACCCTTTGGACTCCTGCATTGTGACTGCTGTTGATGCTCCAGGACCACTGGAATCGAGGAGAGCACAGGAGAGCTGCAGCCCATGTGGGGCGGCAGAGTGCAAAGTCTGCTCTGTCTCCACTGGCTCCGCTTTGGGCCCACCACCATTTTCCTGGCTGGGAGGTGGGGAGCGGRGACAGAACGTTTGTTGAATGAATGCGTGTGAGTAAGCATTTGTGCTCCAGGCTTAAAACGTGCCGGATGTGGGGGCGAAGGAAGTGCCCCTGTGAGGACCAGACCCTCAATGCCAACAGGAGACAGGGCTGGAGGAATACTACCCCAGATGGCTCCTGTTGACTCCCCCAAACCAACCCAGAGCGGGGAAATGGGGTCACAAGACCTCCTGGTTTTCCAGTTTGAGTCCTCCAGCCCGGCTACCCTAGTGGGCTTTCCATTTTCTTGCAGGTCTGGGAGCTGCTTATTTGAAGCCCACCTCAGAGGCCAGGACGCTGCCTCCCTTCCCTGAAAGATGTCAACTCCTTGGCTCTTGACCCCAGGCATAAACCAGCCCTGCTAGTGTCCTGGGTCTTGCCTTTCTACAAGCTCAMTGTCAATGCCCGCTCTTCTCTCCCAGGGGGCGTGGCATCTGAAGTGGAACAACTTTGAGCATCSAGCTTGCTTTCTCTGCTAAACCTATTCACTTTCTCTTCTGAGCCTCAGTTTCCTCCTCTGTACGATGTGTGTGTGGGGGGGATGTGCATCACGTTTGCTCTGAGGATTAAAGTGAACAATGTCAGGCGCTCCCAGCATGTTCCTGGCACCAACTACTAGCTAGCGCAGAAACGTTCAAACCAACTCCACCTCCCCCAACCCTGAGCTTTCTTCCCCAGCGGAGTGGCTGGCTCTGCTGCCAAGTGGACTGGCCAATTCCTTCCAGGGATTGTCTTGGCTCAGGGTGCGAGTGAGAGGCAGGGGATTAGAGAGTCGGACTTTTCTTTTCCTTCCATTTCCCCTCTACCCCACAAATGAGCGGGAGCGCGCCGGAGGGGCTGTGGGAAGACCCCGGAGCCTGCGCTGTGGTCGCGTATAGGAGGACTCACAAATTGTATTTCAGCATTGGGTCCTTCCGGGTTAATGAGCTGACACCATGATTAAAGCTGACCATTTGTAATGTGTCTCGACCCCGCCGCCGAGCCCTGAAGAGGTTAATGCGGTGACGGAGGCCGGCACCTGCCCCTCGCCAGCCTCCCGGGCCGCGGCGCACAGACCCTGGCCCCCTCCTCCCGCCTCCCCCTGTCCCGGCTGCGCTGCTGACTCCTAATCAATTAGCCCATTAACGAGCCCTTCGAGGAGTTAAGTAGGGAGTCCTGCCACTGGCAGGGCCGCAGTCGGTTACTCACCGCGGCTAATGATATTATAAGCGCTTTACTCAGCCCGGGAGCAGTGAGGGAGAGGAAGGAACTGCATCGTCATGGTGTGRCGTCTGGACATTCGTGGGGACTGATTCCACAGTATCCTCTCACTCCTGGCTGTTTTGGGGTGCACCTTAGAGACAGCTCTAACCTCTTGGCTGAGCAGTTGGAAGCTGCAGCCTGAGCGTAGGGTTAGCCTGGGCGCTTGGGCCTTGCCTTACCCCAATTTCGGTAAAAACTAGTGTAGAGGACTGTGGCCCCAAGCCTTTTTGCAGGTGCCCGAGTGATTACAGATCAGATAATAGCTGTTCTAGGAACTATGGAGCAAGAGCCATAACTCCAAAGGGGACTGTGAGAAGGAGGGAGGGAACAGGGAACCCTGGTTTATTTACCACCACGTGCCAGCTTTGGTGTTGGACATCTGAATCTCATCACATCCTCTGCGAAGTAGGCGATTACTTCCCTCGATTTTAGGAAACGGAGCCTCGGAAAGTTATAAGTACTCGCCCAGCCTAGTTGAGTGGACCCTGCAAAAGTCCAAAACTGTGTCATCGTAACTACCTCCTTCCGTTCCTTTCCCAGGAAAAAGTGTTTCTATTTCTCTAGCAATTACAAGACCTCCAATAGACAACGAAAAAGAGTTTCATCTCTGGCATGGGAAGGCGGGTCGGCCGCTGTTCAGGAAAGGTTTAGGAAGTAACTACTATGTGCTACTAGCGCTCCTTCTGTAGGCTTTCTGGCGCTATTCCATCCATACCTGGGTGATCTTCAAAACAGAAGAAGGAAGAGATACTAATGAGTTCATTTCACCTGAGGTCAGAGACGCTTTGACTGAGACCAGACTTGTTCAAGCCAGCTCGCTGGATGTAATCGGTGTTGCTGGGACTTGAACCGGCATCTCTTGACGCGCGGTCTAGGGCTTCTCCAACTCCCGCCCCCAAAACCATGTAGCCCGGTTGGCCCGGGTAGGGATGGGATTTGCAGGCGAGGAAGGGCAGAAGTCTGATCCCTGCTACGCTCAAGCGAACAGCGTCCATCAGACCCAAGCACTTAACCCTCTCCACCCCCAGGAGGGTCGCCAAGTGACAGCTCTGCCAGTCCCTCTGGGGTTGGAAGGAGAGGAGGACTGGGGAGTGTGATGGCAGCCTCTCGGAGGCCCTCGGAGGCGCGAAGATCTGTTGCCTGCGGCAGCGGCAGGCCATTCCAGCTCGGAGCCCCGCGCTGTCCCTGTCCCTGAAGAGGCARGGATCCCAAGTAGATACCAGGACCTAGGCTGGAATTTGCGCGGCTTTCGGCCCTTAGACGCCCCTGGCTGGACAGATTCGATGCCGGCCGGGTTCTTGCCGTACTCCAGGGGCTCTCCCGCACTGAGTGCGGGGCCGGAGCTTTTTGAAAATTTCCGGGGCAGCTCTGCGGCGCTGCGATTGGCCGCGTTCCGGTAACCTCTATGCAAATGAGGCCGCACCGCCTCCGCGCAGCCGGAGACCCCGCTAGCTGGTGGGCGAGAAAGGGGCATTTGCACTGGGTCTGGGCGGGCGTACCTAGAGCCGGGCGGGCAGGGACCTCCGCGCAGCCGTCCCGTACCCGCGTGTCCCCTGCGCGGAAGGGACACCCCACCAACCTCCCCGCCCCCTCCCCCTAGCTCCCCTCTCCGCCCCTCCCCCCTGCCTGCCTGTCTGCACCACCTTCCGCCCAGATCGTCTCTAAAGGGAGTTCTTGGTTTCCTCCGATTTCTTATGAACCCAGGATGGGCAGCAAGGAAGATGTGGGCAAGGGGTGTCCGGCTGCCGGTGGCGTCTCCAGCTTCACCATCCAGTCCATCCTGGGCGGGGGCCCCTCCGAAGCACCGCGGGAGCCCGCCGGCTGGCCAGCCAGGAAGCGCAGCCTGTCGGTGTCCTCGGAGGAGGAGGAGCCGGACGACGGCTGGAAGGCGCCCGCTTGCTTCTGCCCAGACCCGCACGGCCCCAAGGAGCCAGGCCCCAAGCACCACCCCCACATCCCTTTTCCTTGCCTGGGTAAGGATCGCACTCTGCAGTCTGGCAGCGAGCGAGCGCTAGGGGAGCGAGGCTGCGTGCCCCGTCATGACTCCCCCTCGGGTCAGATCTTTGGCCGCTGGGGGTCTGGGGCCGAGGGGAGGGCACAGCAGCGCGGCGGTGGCTTCTCGGCCCGGGAAAGCTCGGGAGGAGAAGGATAGCACACCCACCGCGCGGCTTGGGCTTCTTGGGGAAGGTCGGGTTGGAGAGAGTGTGGACCACAGTGGTCTGGGCACCTGGCTGGTTGTACACAGGACTGTGTGCTCAATCCCGTTGCACACAGGATACTTTCTTTCCAGACAGGTGGTCTGCAAGTCGGGTCTATATGTTCTGTCTCTACTGCATTCTCTGCTCTGCTCCCCCCCCTTCTGTCTGTGTCTCCTTCTCCTCGGAATGATTAGCACTCTAAGGTGATTGACAATGGTGCGTTTCAGAGACGGTTCCTCTTTACATTTGAGGAAGGAGATCCCGAGTTGGTCCTTAGCTGATTTCTAAACAAATGGCCTGTGAAATGAGGCTGACCTATTTAGCTGGAGGAAGTCTTCCAGCTCAGTTATAACAAGACAAACTCACCTTTATAATGGTAACGTTCCCCCTCCAGGCCTCCTCTCCCTGCTGCCACYTATCCTTTCATAAAGGTGGGAGCACAGAGACCCCAGACTCCCAGACTCCAATAGCTGGGTCCTTCTTCTGTAGCTTTTAAAGGCGGAGGTGCTGGGTTTGGGGTGCTTGTTAGAGGGAGAAGAGGAGGGAGTTGGTAACATGGGACCAAGATTGCAGACTTCTGCCAACACTCTAGTCCCGGGAAGAGTTGTGGATCTCCAAAGCTCTTCAACTCCAAGGCCTTCCTGTCTGTTCTTATTTCTCAGGTACTCCTAAGGGCAGCGGAGGCGCAGGGCCGGCGAGCTCCGAGCGTTCGCCTTTTCTCTCTCCTTCGCATCCGGACTTTAAAGAAGAGAAAGAGAGGCTCTTGCCGGCGGGCTCTCCCTCCCCGGGACCCGAGCGGCCGCGGGACGGCGGCGCCGAGCGGCAGGCGGGCGCGGCCAAGAAGAAGACGCGCACCGTCTTCTCGCGCAGCCAGGTGTACCAGCTCGAGTCCACCTTCGATATGAAGCGCTACCTGAGCAGCTCGGAGCGTGCGTGTCTCGCCTCCAGCTTGCAGCTCACCGAAACCCAGGTCAAGACTTGGTTCCAGAACCGCCGCAACAAGTGGAAGCGGCAGCTCTCGGCGGAGCTGGAGGCGGCCAACATGGCGCACGCGTCCGCGCAGACTCTGGTGGGCATGCCGCTGGTGTTCCGGGACAGCTCGCTGCTGCGCGTGCCGGTGCCACGCTCTCTCGCCTTCCCCGCGCCGCTCTATTACCCCAGCAGCAACCTCTCGGCCTTACCGCTCTACAACCTCTACAACAAGCTCGACTACTGACCCACCTGCCCGCGCGCGCCCACTCTCCGGCTCGCCCGGGACCCCGGAGCCCGGCGCGGGCTGCACCCTTCACAGACCTCCGGAGTAAAGCGACGTGATTCCAGAAATATTAAGAAATACACCATGTGTATTCAGTATCTTTTATTTATGGCCTCCGCCCTGCTTTTTGTTTTGTTTCGGGTATTTATCGGTATTCCTCAAAMCAGATTGCCTGCTTTCTACCCAAATGAAACCAATACGCTTAGAAAACCACTTTGGAGAGGGATATTCTCGGGTCGTGATGGGAAAAGGAGTTTTGGCCAGATTGGCTTTGATTGGTAGAAAAAAAAATCAGAAAAATACCAACGAAACCAGGTATACTCCCCCCCCCCGCGCCCATGTATACACCTGTACATATGTACATGCACACACGCTCTGCCAAGCCAGGCCCTCAGGGGCTGTGGACAATGATCTAATAATCTCTTTTCATTTCCTTCATCCCGAGGATGGGTAGGGGCGAAATGGGGAGAGTTCCGATCTGTAAATATTTTTAAAGCGGAGAAAAAAAAATAAAACATTTTAAACATCATCGTTGCTAACTTTGGAGGGGTTAATTACCCAGCACGACAATGCGCGGAAGGTTTCCTTCATTTTCCGTGGTAGAGTTTACAGGCGTCTGCAAAGATCGGACTCGCACCACGTGGAGGGTGGGGTCGGGATCGGGGGTTAAAGGTCTGGGTATAGCCACTGCAAAGGCCGCACGTGGCTGGAACTGCATATTCCCTCCCACCCCCATCCAATTGCGCAGAATCCCAGTGCGGGCTGGGGCTCACTTCGGATGGAATCCAGCTCCAGAGCCCGCGGGGAGAAAGACAAAGGCCGGGAACCGGTCTTGCTGCTGAAGTAGTAGCCTTCCGGGATTGGGCCAGGCCAGGGCGCGAGGAGCATCCTGCACCGTGATCTTCTTGGACTTGGCTGAAGCTGGGCGCGCAACGACGTGGTTCAAGCTGTGCAGAGTGCCTCCTCTCCTCGGGTGTGTAGGGCAGGGGGCAGCGTTAATCTGGTGAAGGATCTACTTGTCGCCCTTAGCCCAGCGCCACCAGCTTGCAGTCGCGCACAGTTCCCGAGTCCGTGAACAGACTGTGACCCGCGCAGAGCGGGAACTGAATGTGGAAAGGCCGCTTTTCGGCCAAGGAGGGCTCCGAGGCCCGAAAGAAGGCGCAGGAGACAAATGCTCTTCCCACACTCTTTTGTTGTTAATAGTTTGCACAGTGCGTGGCTAAATGGCTGGATGACCAGCCAGCATACTGATGTTTCTGAATTGAAAAGTGATGCGAATAAGAGGCGCCCACGGGCTTCCGTGTCCAGACACCTGCCACCACGTTGAGACTGGGAAGATGCTGCCTGGAGAGAATAGTCGCCGGAAGAATAGCCGCCAGAGAGGTGCAAATCGCAAACCCTCTCTCTCCGGTTAAATTGCTGCCACCTGTTCCTTATAAAGCGTCGGAAAGCAAAGCATTAGCTTGGTTCAGCAATAAGTAGGGCGAGCTCTTGCCTCCAGCCAGCTCCATCTTAAGCTGGTACTAAAGAGCTGGGAGCTCACGGCTCCAAGCTCCATCTCACCCTCTAGAAGGGAAACATTTCGGTGAGAAACTTGTCTTTTAGAACCAAGAAACAGAAATTATCTGCATTTTGTGAAAATACACAGAAATATCTGTAAATGTTAATGTGACCCACAGTATTCTGTGTAAAATATCTGACCAAAAAGATCTGCTGTTACATTGACTTTTTTACTTTTCACATTCATTTTCATAGAAATCACAACTATTTCAAGGTGAAGTCAGGAAGAATATTACCCAAGGATGAATCTGCCAATACTAGGTTGGTTCAATTGCATTTACTGCATTTCAACTGAGTTCAGGTCAATACATATTTCCTGGGCCCTGAAACATACCGAGAACCCATTCTAAATTTTGGGTGGTCAGAGAAAGAAAACAAGTTTCACAGAGGATCCATATTCTTTTTGTGTACACATATTTATTTCACTGAAGTTCTCTTGCTCCAGATAATCCTCTTTAAATTGTTTTCCTCTAACCGTTGCTATTTGAATATTCCATGCAGAAACAACCAAATGACATCCAAGGAATTTCTTGTATAGGGATAGTCCATCCATAGCATTTTGTTTGCATTTCAGTAAGTTAGTTACAGTTTGAAGATGGTTTTAATAATATTGATGGTTTTAATAACATTTTCCTTAGGCTTGCTTCTTTAATAGGAAGTGGTTTCCCCTAGTCACCRAAGGCATTTAAGGAGAAACTTTGCCTTGGTGATTTTAGGGAATGACCCTTTTACAGTTTATCTTATATAATGTATATTTCACCCATTTTCTAATCCAGGATTTAGCCATCATAGATGATCTAACAGTGTAATTACGTTCTAGGAATTTCACAGTTAACTCTAACACACATGTACACATAGAACTTTGCATTTGGATTTAAAATGTTCAAGACTCCATTGTTGCCAGATTTCCTATCTCAAGCCTATCAATTCATTTGAATAATAAGCCAAATCATCAGTCTCCTTTCAGGATCTAAACTGGATTTAAAAGATTGACGTTTCTTAAAACTCAAATTGAGTCGGGCTGCAACTGCATGCCCAGAGGGACCTGAATCATACACTGGGTAATGAAATACACTTAGATTTTGTTAGTGGATAATTTATGCTCAGAATCTCGAAACACTAATAGAATTAAACAACTGGGAGAGGGAACCAAATAAGTCAGGAGATAAAATTATTTAGCTTAACTTAGAATGGAAGTAAGACACTACATTTGAAATGATTCAACTTGCCTATTAACTTGTTGAAAGAGAAGAAATAGAGAAACAAGAACTAGGCCTGGTAAGGAAGAAGGGCAAGAATCTTTTAGCAGTCATATCAATGTAATAAGTAGAAGGGTTGTCATTGTACATGTTTATTGTCAGAAATCTTAAGAAGTGCATTCATTCAGAGTGTGAACACATAAAGATCAACAGCTCTCTCTTATTAATGTACCTTAAAAGTTAAACATTTTAACCCCAACAATTGACTCCTGCTTCATACAAAATTATATAATRAAACTTTTTTTCTTAAAAAGGTAGTGAAAAAGAGATAATAGAATATAGATTAAATTGAAAAATTGAGGCTCAAGAGTAACTCAGTTACTGAATTCTATTGATTAGGCATTAATTTTCTTTAGTTGAGATGAAATAATTTCTCACTACTGAAAAGCTTCTTGGTGCTCTGTATTTCTGGAGGACTCCAGAAAAAATGGGAGCAAACAGCCTGAAGCCTTGTGGAGTAGCAGGGTATGGTGGAAGGGAAGAGGCTTGTCATTGCCCTTTGAAGATTCCATGACAAACCTATCTCTAGAAGCCGTTTGAGCTGTAACACATTGCAGAGTATTTGTTTACTAGTCTGTCCATCCTTCTGGATACTGGGAGTTCCTTCAGGACAAAAGACTAGTCTGATTAAATACATCTTCCCAGAGCCTTTCACCAGGGCTGGCATGCAGTGGATGCTCAATAAGTTCATAACGATGGGGTGAAGAGGTAAAACAATAAGGACGAGATTCTATGGGGTGGGCAGAATTTTAAGACAATGGGAAACCTGAGAGCTGGTTGATAGTACAAACGCCAGGAAAATGAGAAAGAATCAAGGCAAAATAGGGCAGTTGATCAGAGCAAGTATTTCCTCTCTATTTCAATTTCTGGTTCATTTTACAGACATATACACGCGAAGAAGAGAATGATTTAGCTCTATAGGAGTATTGACCAGAAAGGGATTCTTAAGTCTGAGTGATTACGGGGGAGGAGGGCGCCACTGGCGGACCTTAAGACCTACTTTCCCGCCTACTGTTCAGAGCACAAACCGGGCATCCGCCCCGTGGAAACTACACCACCCAGGATGACACGCACAGGCGTGGGCGCATAAGAGCGCGTCCTTGGCGCGATGCTACTTGGGAGTTGTAGTTTCTGGTCCTACGCCACGAGTTCGGGGGTCTCAGCGTGCTGGTAAAATGAGACCACGTGATCGGAAAAACCGCGGTTTCCCTTTGAGCCGGAACTGGAAGACTGCTTTGACCGTCACCGAGCAGCCGAACGGACCAATAGGCTGCTTAGAGCGAGCCGTTGGCGTTTTAAAGCAGCCAATGGCAGAGCTATGCTGGAGCTTCCTCTCCGCCTCCTACGCCCGGCCGGAGAGTGCTCCGAGGGAAGCTGCGAGGCGGCGGCAAGCCGTTTAGAGGCTACTTCAGAGGCAAGCTCAAGGTAGCGGGACGAGGCGGTGGGGCGCCGGAGCATGCTTCCCGCGGACCTCGCGGGCCCGCGCTGGCGGAGCCGTCTGCAGGGCACCTCGTTTCGCGTTCTTCGCTTTTAAGACCGTCTGGGGCCCCGGGGGAGGGGAGGCGGCAGGGCGGGTGTGGGCGCCCGCAGTGTGCGGCCCTGGGCTGGGGTGGGGGTGCGGCGGCGGCCCGTCGGGCCAGGGGCGAGGCCGTGCGTGGCGGACCCGGACTCCGCGCAGGCGCAGACGCCGCCCTCCCACCCGGGACCCTGGGGGACTCGGACTGCGCGTCTGTTCCGCAGATGACCGGTTCTAACGAGTTCAAGCTGAACCAGCCGCCCGAGGACGGCATCTCCTCGGTGAAGTTCAGCCCCAACACCTCCCAGTTCCTGCTGGTCTCCTCCTGGGACACGTCCGTGCGCCTCTACGATGTGCCGGCCAACTCCATGCGGCTCAAGTACCAGCACACCGGCGCCGTCCTGGACTGCGCCTTCTACGTAGGTGGCCGTCCCCTCCCCTGCCCTCTGCCGCGCCGGGAAGTGCCCGGTCAGCAGCGCCCCTTTTCCGGTGTCGGGTAGATCCCTGTGGGAGTTCTTTGGACCGCTCCTTGGTGTTCGGCAACATCTGCTCTTGCCGGACACTCTGTTTCTTGTTGGGAACGTGCAGATGTCCTAAACCCTGTGAACTTCGTGGACTTAACGATGACCGATGTGGCTGCCCCATTAAAAGGGACCTGTAGAAGGAATGCCTGTTTTACCCTCAGCCACTGGGATGAACTGAGCCTTCCCTCAGTTTGTTGACGGTGGTTTTGGTGACCACTTCCGCCCTTTTTGTTTACAGTGAATAGTTGTGCTCAGTGTGTGCTGTTCCCAGCATGACCTGAACAGTTGGCCCTAGAGGTAGGCATTCTGAAATGCTTTTTAAAAGCTCTGTAAGTTTTAAGTGCCTTGAAACTTTATTTTGTAGGATCCAACGCATGCCTGGAGTGGGGGATTAGATCATCAGTTGAAAATGCATGATTTGAACACTGATCAAGGTAATGTAACCACATTTTTAACCATTTTTCTTCACTAGTTATTAGAGTGTAGAAGTTTAGGAAGAATGGTTGCTGAATTGCTTAGTTATGGAGATAGAGGTAAAAGTGGTATGAATTTAGACATTTTTGTCTGAATGACCATTAAGTTACTGGCCACAAAACATTATGCATATATTTTTGCACTTTGATCTCCATCCTAAGGGTTTACATGAATTGATACTTAATTATTTGACTTTTACCTCATCCTTAGAAGTGAATTAGAACATATAGTGGTCCATGTTTTAATAGAATGTTCCAGGATAATGCTTATGTTTTAGGGTTCTTCTTTCAGAAGGTAATTAAAACTGAAGGAAGGTATTTTCATAAAAACAAAACTTTGTAGAAGAGCCAATAATGTTTATTAATTCTGCTTATTTACTTARTAGAATATGTTTCTGTTGCATTTGTTAAGAAAATAATTTCTTAGAGACCCAGATATGAAATGACCAAATTTTTATGATCATACTAAGGCAGAGCACACACTGGAGAAGAACCCAAACATCAGAGCTCTCTAGCTGAGCATTTGTCCTTACTTTAGACAGATAAATTTGAAGGAGATGGCAGGGATCCTAGAGGCTGAGTTGATCAACAGGATGATGGATGGAGGACAGGCACATTTTGTCAAAAAAAAAAAAAAAAGTTAAAGAGACTTGCAGAAGAGTCACATTGTTATGGAACTTAAAATTAATGTTATTGGTTTTGTTTGTCTGTAGCTTGCCCTGTGTAGTAAATCCCTTTAGGTTAATTTACAAACTTGGGAAAAACAAACTTGATTTTCAGTGTTTAGGGTGTAACTTAAAGAGAATTAGTTGTTTATTCTGACCATCATTGCCAGGCTTCATGAGATTCTTGCAGCTTGTTTTAATATGCTTTTAGAAAAGTAACATTCCTGTTTAAGAGTCAAGACCATGTGCTATTCTTGTATGCCTAGGTTGCATGGATTTGGGCTCATATCTAAATGGAAGTTGAATGAAGAAATGAGATATTGTGAAGGTTGAAATTGAGAAAAGAAATTATGTGTTGGAAATTTGACCTACCATGAAAACCAAGTGGAATAAATTATAAGACTTCATCTCCAGCTCTCATAATCCCATAACCACATGAATAACTTTCTTAAAAGTATTGGCTTAATGTGTAAGATAAACATAATTGAGTTCCAGAACCTAGGGTTCTTCACCCATTTGTTCATTCAACAGGTATTTCTTGAACACCCAGTGTGCACTAGACCTTTTATTAGATACAGAGTTTAAAAACAAGCTTCCTGATAAGAAATCTAGAATTCCGTTAGGAAAGTAGTAAACATGCCACCTGTTTAAATGTAATCTGAAACTCAAGGAAGCCTTTGATATGCAATATGCTAGTGGTTCAAACTGTGCACCATAAGATGACCAGAGATGATGAATGGATAACTTTGTAGTAATGAAGATATTTTTGTGTATGCAGACATTTCCATGGATATTAAATGAGGCAGATTCATTGCATTTGTTCATTTGAGTACTCTTGTTTAGTTAAGGTAGTAAAGCTAACTGTTGGGTTTTTCTTCTAGAAAATCTTGTTGGAACCCATGATGCCCCTATCAGATGTGTTGAATACTGTCCAGAAGTGAATGTGATGGTTACTGGAAGTTGGGATCAAACAGTTAAACTGTGGGATCCCAGAACTCCTTBCAATGCTGGGACCTTCTCTCAGCCTGAAAAGGTAGGATTTTTGTATTTATCAGGAATTATAGTTCTTGGGGTGACTATGCTGTTGAATTTAATGATTAATATGCTATTGAATTTAATGGTTAAGAATTGTGACAGAGTCTCTTTTTATAAATACAACAACATTGAAATGCTTTAGTGCAAAGGAAATTAACTTTGGGATGAATTTTAGTCTCTTTTTTTCTGTCARTTGTTAACACTTGTACTGGCGAGTGAGAGCTTAAATGAGCCTGCTTCATGTATTAATACTTTAAATCTCAGGACTAAGAAGCAACTCATGGTCTTTGTAAAGAGGTCATTTAGCAAAAAACTGTTGATTGTCTTAAATTGGATTTGACATGCCCAAAACAGAAAATGGGATGGAGCATCACTCATTTTCAGTTGTGACCTGAGGATTCATTTGAGCTAACTATTACAAGGGTGAAATGGGTTGTCATTTCAAGTTTAGCAAGAAAGATATTCTACTTCTTGACTGTTTATATATACACATTTTTTTTTTAATGCTGATGTAGTTTGAAGGTTTTTTTTTGAATGGAGCTTTTAAAAACTGAACCTTTGTTATTCTAACCTTTTGATCTGCATGATAAAATAGTGCATTCTTGCTGTATCCTCATCAGACTTTATCAGGGGTAGTTAATTTTAAAGATTGATTGTTTTAGCAGTTTAAAGGTATCCTTCACTTGAGTCTATTTCCTCAGTGTAAATATGCTATTCAGCTGCTGTTAGCTGTCATTACATATAGTGGTGCATCCAAAGAGCCATTATTTTTGTCACATCACATTCGAATCTACTCCTGGCAAGACCTTTGTTCAGAATAAAATAATTGCATTGTTTCTAGTTTTGATTTATGGTTGTATGTAACATGTTAAGAACTGTGATAAATTGCTGACAGAATATCATATAATGGACAGCCATACTGAATCAAGCTGCTTATTGGTTCAGCAAGGTTCATTATGTCACTTTTTTTTAATACTTTCTTTGATAAATGTATATACCTAGTCAGTAGCATGACAGTGGTTTCACTTGATTTATGATCAGTGAGGATAGAAAGAACCCTTAGAAGCTTGTGTGTCACCTGTTCAGTAAAGATTTAAGGTAAAGTTCCTGATATGATTGTACCATTACAAATTGATCTCTGGATTTGGTATTTTCTGCAAATATTTTGTTTGTGAATAAGCTATGGTGAATCTTAGGGTATTATTCTTCATATTTAAGTCTCCTAGAATTACATCTGTTAATTTCATTCTTTTCAGTTCTTATTTTTCCCTTGGTCATATTAGTTATTGAAAAAAATTTTAAATATTCTTTTTAGTTGTTGATAGACCTTTATTTAGTTAATTTGTTTATATGTGGTGCTGAGAATCAAACATAGTACCTCACACAGGCTAGGCAAGCGCTCTACCACTGAGCCACAATCCCAGCCCCTAGTTGAATTTTAAGTCCAGATTTTAGAAACTGCCATGGGGGCATTGGGTTGTAACCACTTGGTTGTTTGTTGTGGACTGTAGTTAACACACTAGAGATTAAAAACTGTATGGTTTAATTATTGAGCATTAAAGAGATGTTTTACCGTCTTATGGGGCCTCTCTGCTTTTTTACTTTGTTTAGGTGCTGGGGATTTAACAGCCCAGGGCCCTGGGCATGCTAAGTGATCACACTCTCAGCACCAAGCTATATTTCCTGCCCTCTATTTTTTATAGCAATTCTTCAGGGTGAAAAATATTAGGTCAGGTTAGAGTTGCATATTAATTGAAAATTATAACCTCAATTTTGGATATCTAGTCTAGATTTGAAAATAGTGACTTAACATGACCAGGAAATATGTTTTTTGTCTCCTTTTTCATGAATTTAATGCCTCTGTCTCTGAGTAACATGTTTGTAAATGAACCACTAAATATTTTGCTTGCAGGAAATTTGGTGACTTATAAAGAAGTTTTTGTGGCTATTTTGGTTTTGAAGATTAAGCATTAGGGTAAAAAACTAGACACTTAAAGGGCATGAAATAGTTTTAAAAATCTTTCCTTAATATAAACTTTTGCCTCGAATGTTATTGAAGATGTTTGCCATAAGAATTAGCTTTGACACATGCAGATTACTGTCCTTGTCATCTTTTTTTTAAATCTTCGGACTGAACCCAAGGTCTTGTATATGGTAGGCAAGGTACCACTGAGCTACAACCCTCCCTCCACTCACCCTTTTTTTTTTTTTTTTTTTTAATTTTGAGACAAGGTCTTGTTGCCTAGGCTAGCCTTGAAACTTGTGATCCTTCTGCCTCAGAGTCCTGAGTAGCTGGGATTATAAGTTTGTGCCACCACTCCCAGCAACTTACAGACAAGTTTTGAGTTTGTGTGTCACCAAAAGCAACCAAAGTTAATAATGACTCCCTCACTCTACTTGGAAAGGCCTGTTTTTTCGTTATAATAGTTGGGAAAAGTCAAGATTTTGAGTCACCAAATGAGATCAAAAGGTGGTTGTGGAAAAGTAACTTGGAAAATGTTTGTTTTATGAAAGGTTAGAAGCTCATTGAAAGGTATCTTGAATTATTTTATGTTTTATTGTCTCATTTTTGAGTGCTTTTTTTTTTTTGCATTTTTGTCTAAATGAAAGAAGGTTGGGAAAAATTGTTTTGATAATGAGTTTCTCTACAGGATTAGAATGTACCTTGTATGATACTGATGAAGAATTAATATCCAGGATTTGCTATTTTGTGTGCATTATTTGACTTGAATAACTGTAGCATCTAAAATTGTTGTGTTTGAAATTTAATGGATTAATTTTTTTAATACTTAGATGGATTTCATTTGGAGATAAAATGCCATTTTCAAGATGTAGATGAATTTTAGCAATTTCTCATCTCTCTTAAAAGGTGTATACCCTCTCAGTGTCTGGAGACCGGCTGATTGTAGGTACAGCCGGCCGCAGAGTGTTGGTGTGGGATTTACGGAACATGGGCTATGTGCAGCAGCGCAGGRAGTCCAGCCTGAAATACCAGACTCGCTGCATAAGAGCATTTCCTAACAAGCAGGTACTGATCTACTCTTTCTCCAGTTCTGGTATTTGAGAATAATATCTTATATGATGATAATTTGACTAATACTTTCAAGGTGTTTTTCTTTTTTGAGTAGTGACTTAGATTTGCTGTTAGGAAAAAAAAATGCTGTTAGGTATATTATTACTTAACACTTTAAACAATCTCATGTTAAAAGGTAATGTGTTAATAACCTGCATTTTAGAGAAGACCTTAATGTTCAGAGAGGTTAAATAATCTGAATGGGATCACTCAATAGTTAGAATAGAGGTCTTTGGATTTTACTGTTGATTCTGATCATTCATGTACAATAATTTAAGAGTTTTGCAGATATTTCAGTTTACAGACCAGTGAATTAAAACAAATCTGAAAATCTGTTTATAGGATTCGTTATTTTCTTTTTGCCTTTTTCTAATTGTAATAATAATTGTTCTTTCTTCCATCTGACAGTAGAATTTTGATTTTCTGAACTCCACTGAGGTTAGAGAGGTAGTGTCCCTTAAAGACTAATTCTATTTTGTATGTGTACGCGTGTGCATGTTCTGGGATTGGAATCTAGGGCCTCATGTATGCTAGGCAAACACTATCACTGCATTATATTCCCAGCCCTACAGACTAACTTTTGATATATAGGGTGAATTGCTTTCCATCTTCATTAAGAAGACTAGCTTGTTTATTAGTGAGCTCTTTCCTACCCCCAATTCATAAAGTTATAAGGGGAGCTGGTAATGCTGTAAGTTACAATAGGAATTTTGCAGGAGAGAAAGTCATTAGAAATCAGCAGGTATGTTTGAAATCATGGCGGCTGTCATTTAGTGTTGTGGAATTTGAAGCAGTTGTTAAGTCAGTTATTCTCTTGGTTTTTTATCTCAAAAGGCCAGTATCTTATATGGTCATCACAGTTMTTTTCCAGGAAAGTATAAATTTTTCATCCCTGACAAGGAATTGCAGTTAGGTGAAACTTTGGGATTTTAAGTATGTGATTAAAGGATTATTGTATTATAGAAATTATTTTTATTTCTTCCCTTTTTTCTTTAAAGTCAATTTATTTATATATTTTTTCTTGTGCTGGGGATTGAACTCGGCCTTGTGCATGCGAGGCAAGCACTGGAACAGCTGAACTATATCCCAGCCCCTGTTTTTATTTATTTATATTTAAAATTTTCTGTCAGACTGTCTCTACTTCATAATGGAAATTTAACATAGATTTTTACTGAATTTTTCTCATAAGCAGTTTTTAGGAATAACTCTTTTCTGTCTCGAAAGGATTGAAAAAAATGAAGATTGAAAACAGATTTTATATTCAGCATATTATCTTAAGTTTTATAGCATGTTGTCATATCATGGAAAGGTGAGAAAAGGTTTGAAATTGTAAACCATTTTTGACCATTCCTGAAGTGTCTGCTGTGTGTAAACCTGACTAGCCGTGGTAAATTCAAGAGGTGGAACAACTGAAATGCAGGACTGGTATTCCAGTCTATTTGGGTTATTGATGCTCCCAGTGACAGAAACACAGTTCTTAACAGTTGTTAGAGATGAAAAGGCATAGAACGATAAAATAATATATTTAACTGAGGGAACAAATTTGAGTACCTTCTGGACAGGAAACATAAATGGTACTAAAAGACTTTAAAAATTCTTGTTTAGGTTTGATAAAATAGTTGGATCTTTCTGATTATCATGTGCAAAACACAGTGAAGAAAGCAAGTGATGACAGCCTTTTTTTTTTGTTTTAAGATAAAACAAATGAATGTTCTAGCTTTTTAGAGTTGTCATAATTGTCAGTACAGCTTAAACATTTTGTTAAAACCTGGCCGTACTTTTTTCATTTCTGAAAGAGTCATCTTTCTTTGGTATGGATTGAATTTGGGAACTAGTGCCTTGTTTATGGAAGCTGGTTTACCATTTTTGTCCTCTGGTTTGCTCTTGACAGGGCTATGTATTAAGCTCTATTGAAGGCCGGGTGGCAGTTGAGTACTTGGACCCAAGCCCTGAGGTACAGAAGAAGAAGTATGCTTTCAAATGTCACAGACTAAAAGAAAATAATATTGAGCAGATCTACCCAGTCAATGCCATTTCATTTCACAATATCCACAATACATTTGCCACAGGTAAAGTATGGCAAGCTAACTTATATTTAATTATTATGATTATATGGTTTTTAAAATTGAACATTATTTGGGCTTAGAGTTACTTTTTAAATTTGTGCTTTTTTTTTTAGCTATTTAAGGAAAAAAATCTGTAGCACTTCTTGGGGGAAATGTAACTTAAATGATCTTAAAAATTAGATGTTTAAGATAATGGTGTTAACCAATTTAACTATTTTGAAATTACTTGCAGGTGGTTCTGATGGATTTGTAAATATTTGGGATCCATTTAATAAAAAACGACTGTGCCAGTTCCATCGGTACCCTACCAGCATCGCATCACTTGCCTTCAGCAATGATGGGACTACACTTGCAATAGCATCATCATATATGTATGAAATGGATGACACGGAACATCCTGAAGATGGTATCTTCATTCGCCAAGTGACAGATGCAGAAACAAAACCCAAGTGAGTATGCTTCACCTGTATTTGAGCCTTTTCTTGCATTCAACCCAGGATTTATTAATTTTTCTAAATTCATGAATAGCATTGTTGATGCCTGCTCGATATTACAGCTGACTGTAGGGTTGGAGTTGATTTTATCTTGTTCTCCCAAGCTTTCAATATCCGTAGGTTGATAGACGTCTGATGGATAAAATTGTGCCTAGTTGTTTTGTAGAGAAGAATGTCAAACTCTCATTCTTCTTGAATAGACTCTATTATTTGAATCTCTGCAGTTATTACTAGCTCATTGCTTCAAAATTAAGTTGAGGAATTCAAGAATAATTTATTTTAGTAAATTCTATTTAAGATATTTAAGAATTTGAACTGCCAAAAACTTCCCTCTCCACAGAGGTCATTTCTATAATATTTACACAAAGCAAATGACCTTCAGGTCTTATTAAAAACCCAGAATAAGATGCCCTTGCCTAGAATAGCAAATTTTCTTAGTTTTGAAATTTTCATAGATGTCTTTGGCTCTTGGTTGTAATTGTTGACTGAGAGGAATCATTTGCATTTTTCCATATCAGTAAGGCAAAGCTTTTACTTTAGTAGCCTCTACCATGCTTATGGAAAAACTGATACTTAGGCCTGTGTTACTATAAAATGCCCATAGTGTCTTTGTACGATTTTGTGTCCCTGTGTCCAGGCCCTTGAAGGAAGTCCTCAGTAAATATTTGTGGAATAACTGAATGTTTTCAGGATTCTTATGCTTTTCTCAATTAACATGGGTATGGTACCCTTGCTAAATCAGTTGAGCCCCTGAGAGGGGACAGAATGTTGAATATTCAATATTAGAATATTTGACTTTAGAAAAGTCTTAGTATGTGAAGCCTATTGGATAAAGGGCTGTGTTTACATTTGATCTGTCACTTTTGTATCTCTTGTCCTGGCCGGCCATTTTGATCTCATGCTCTTCTTTTTTTCTTTTGAACTTGTAGGTCACCATGTACTTGACAAGATTTCATTTACTTAAGTGCCATGTTGATGATAATAAAACAATTCCTACTCCCCAATGGTGGATTTATTACTATTAACAAAGAAACCAGGGAAAATATTAATTTTAATATTATAAGAACCTGAAAATAATGGAAAAGAGGTTTTCTTTTTCTTTTTTTTTTAAATGAATAATTTCCTAAATGCATGAGATGGTTTGATGGTTTGCTGCATTAAAGGTATTTGGGCAAACAAAATTGGAGGGCAGTGACTGCACTTTTAAGAATTAGTTTTGACCTTGATGATTTTTGTTTCCGCTGTGGAAATAAATGTTTGTAAATAAATAGAGTTAATAAAAATCCCTTTGCATTCTTTCTGGACCTTAAATGGTAGGGGAA